TTTTAGGTGGAACTTAGAATTGAACTCAGATCCTTGCACTTGCCAGGGAAGTGCTTATTCTACTGAGCCATCTCCCTGGCCCTTTTTTTACATTTGTGTGTGTGTGTGTGTGTGTGTGTGTGTGTGGCCAGCTTAGCCCACCAGGGGGCGGGGCTGGCTGGCATGTGGTGCTGGGGGATCGAACTGCAGTCCCTGTGCTTTGCCAAGCTTGTTCCAAGTAGGTGCTTGAGACCACTGAGCCATCTCACCAGCCCCGTGAATTGTTTTTTGATTTCAGCATGTATACAGCCTTTCAGCACAGAAGATTTCAATAGCTAAAATCTATTCCAAGACCCATGCCCGGGAATGACTTGAGAGCCCTGAAATTTCCCCAAACCATTCCTGATACACGCATGTGATTTTACAATTAAGACTTTACGTTTCAAAGTCAGGCAGGAAGGGTGGTACGTGTCTATAATCCAAGCAATCAAGAAGCTGAGGCAGGATAGCCACGAGTTCTAGCTCAGCCTGAACTACATAGTGAGACCCTGTCTCAAAAAAAAAAGACAATCAGATGTATTTTTGGTTTAAGTCCTTGGGACCCAAGCATTTCCTGGGAACTGACTGAAGAAGAAGTAAAGCCCAATCACTGGACCAGTAGGATCTGAAGTAAAAACCACCAGTCTGAACGCCCCTGGGAGCGTGGGAAACACTGGGTGGGGTGCGGGTGCCATCTACCCCCAGGGAGCTGCTCAGGGAGCCTGCCTGCAGCACAGACCCTGGTTCTCTCTGGGCCCAGGAGACCCACAAGCAAAGGAAAGACACAGCCCTCAGAAGCCACGCCCACGAAAGCGACTCCTCACACCCGGGCACCACCAGGGGCGCTCACGGCTTATAACTAAGAACACAACCAACAAAGAAAAGTACCTAGCAGAGACACAAGTGACGGGAGCACCACTGGCTTCTTTCAGGGAAGACACAACAGCATGCAGGTCCTGGGTGGGCCTGACTCTGAGCTCCACTCGGTGGGTCCCCTCTGTGGGGTGGCAGGGGGCCCTGGAGGGACGGATCGGCCTTGATGTGCAAGCACCTGGGGAAACCAGAGTTGTTCTAGGATTTCTGTTTGAGAGTATAAAAATAAGAAACAGTTTATAGGCAAAATGTATAATGAACTCTTTAAAAATAATGATTTTCGGGGTCGGGGAGATGGCTCAGTAGAATAAGCGCTTGTGTGGCAAGCACTAGGGCCTGAGTTCAATCCCCGGTTCTGTCAAAAAAAAGTTTTTTTTCATATAATACAGACACACATACACACCCCTTAGAAACATTCGTAGTCCCCAAAACACAGGGACTTGATGCAAGCAAAATCAAATTCATTAAAGTGTAAGTTAAGCTAAATATTTAAACAACCAAGTTCATTTTCCAGAAGGCTTGCGGGATTTTTTCAATGATCTATACAATCGTCTACTGCTTAGCAGACCTACTCATACACACCATGGCTTAGGCCTAAGCACTTCAGTCCGGCATAGCGACACACACCTATGGTCCCAGCGCCCCACAGGCTCAAAGACCCCGTCTCAGAATAAAAAGCGCACGCTCACGAGGTGTCACGCTGAGCGCGCGCGTCATCCCAGCAGAGTCAGCTCAGAATAAGCGCAAGATCACTTACAACCTCCGCACCTCGGGCGCGCTGAGCACGCTACAAAAGCTTAATGAACACTAACCAGCACGCCCGCCCGCCACAGCCTGACGAGCTGAGCTGTACCTCGTCGGGCACCTTTTGTCACAAGTGAGGGACTACACAACTAATAAAGAACTATGTTCTCACTCGCTAATGAAAATGTTTCTTCCTGCAAACGCACGTTAGCTGCCAGAGGAGTCGCAGCATTTCCCGGGTTCTGGGTCTGAACTCAGGACCTTGTCTACTGAGCCGAGGCATCTCCACAGCCCTCAACATGACTTCTAAGCACGTAAGCACAATCCCAGCGCTCAGGAGGCCGAGGCAGGAGGAGGCTGTGGTCAGAGGGGACCCTGTGTCAACCCAAAGCCCGCGACCGTCCCGGGGGGCCTCGGCAGCGCAGTTCCTGGAGGACGCGCAGTCTCACCAAGCCCCTTGGCCAGCCAGGCGTTGACGCCCTGGGGAGCGGCGTCCAGGGCCGTGTGCGGCGAGTACACGGCCACCCTGCCCTCCAGCGCGCGCACCACCAGGCGCTCCTTCCACGTGGCCGCGGTGACGCGCGCGAGCGGCCGGAAGATGGGCGGGTGGTAGGCGAGCACCAGGTCGGCCTTGGCGCGCAGGGCCTCCTGCAGCACGGCCTCGGTCAGGTCGGTGGTCAGCAGGAGCGTGCGGACGGTGTGCGGCGGGCTCGGCTCCACCAGCAGCCCCACGTTGTCCCAGCTCTCGGCGAAGGCGAGGGGCGCGAGGCGGTCCAGGCAGGCGAGCACGGCCGGCAGGTCCATGCCGCGGGCGAGCCGGGCCGCCAGCATGCAGGGCTGCGGGCAGACGGGCGGCGGCGGTGAGCGGCGGCCTGGGCTGCGCGCCCGCGCGGCCACCCCGCCGAGGGCAGGACCCCGCTGTGGCGGTCCTGTCCTCACCCGGGAAGGGGAGCCGCCTCTGCGCGGGGCGACCCGAGGCGGCAGGGCCGGGCGCAGACCCCCTCGGGGGAGCGCGGGCGAGCGCGCGAGACGCGCAGTACAGTCTAAATACAAGTTTCCAAAACATCAAATTAAGTCACTGAAAAAACGGTGCCACTCGTGTCCGGCTCGGCCTCAGGTACGGGGAAAACCAGCCGCCCCAGCCCAGCCGCGGGCGCGGTGGGCATCTGCCTCCCGCCGCCGCCGCCCCCCGAGTCGCCGCCCGGCCCTGAAGCGCCTGCACGAGCACAAGCCCGGGCGCTGCGCCGGCTGCGGCCGCCGGGCTTTCCTCGCCGCTTTGCCCCAGCGCTCAGCAGCCCCAGCCGCTCCGGTGCGAGGCAGAGCACTCCACGGCACGCACGACCGCGGGAAAGCAGCGGGCGTGGCGGCCTGCAGTCCCCGCACGCCGGAGGCCGGGCGGGAAGCGCTCGGGTGACGGGGCAGCGCGCGGCGGGGACCCAGGCCCAGGAAAACTAACCAGTCACACAGCCGCCTGTTCGCTAGTGAGCTACGCGTAGCCCAGGAATTTCAACAGCAACCTCCCCCTAAAATTTCTGTTGGAAAAGGAGCTTAAAACGCGGCGGACGCAGACCACACCACGGAGGCGAGCGACCCAGCAGGGCGCAGCCCTCGGAGCGCTCCTGCCCGCGCCCTCCACGGAACCTGGCCCGCCACCTCGCGCCCTCGCGCCCTCCCGCCCCGCAGCACGCCCGAAGGGAGGGGCACGCGGCCCGCGCGCGTTTCCAGAGCCCGGCGCTCACCGAGCGGGAAGACCCGGGCCTCGAGCTCGCGCGCCC